CTCAGCCAATTCTGCCAGTCTTTTTTTAACCACTTGGTTGTGGGCAGTCCTTCTATAAGTCTGGAGTGATAACTTGCATTATCCATTACTATTACACAGTTCTTAGGAAGAAGATCTATCATTTGTTCGAACCATTCTTGAAAGACATCAGCGTTCATGTCTTCATGGTAGTCACCGATACGAGTTGATTCAAAAGTTAATAAACCATCTTCAACAAAACCGTCTGAACTGCCAATGTGTACTATTATCAGCCTGCGTCCCTTTCCTGATGGTGGGTTTAAACCAGTAGATAAGTTATTTACAAAAGCGTGCCTTTGACTTGTAACAGTTTTATCCTGCCAAAATTTATTTGGTGTATGACCCTCGTTGATCCATGTTTCATCAAGATAAAATATTTTTCTTTTTTGGTTTCTCATTTCCTTTATGGTTCTTAGAAAATGTCTTCTCCATATGACAATATCGCTTCTTTCTAATAAAATAGACTTTCTGGGATTCTTTTTCCAGCGGAAGCCTATTTCTTTTAAAAGTTTCCATAACGTACTTCGACTCATTTCTGGGTAATCCTTATCATCTCGAACTGAGACAAGAACTTTATCCAATGTTGGAAATTCTTGTCTAAAGAAGAATTCATGAACTTTCCGTTGAAGTCCTTCTTTAAAATGATATTCTATTTGAAATTTTGGTTTCCCTGGAGCATTACGTGGCATTTGAAAACTACCACATGTCTCTTCTTTAATAACTCTGTAAATCGTAGATTTCCCAACACCAAGTGTACTGCTAACTAACTCAACGGTCTCATCAACACTTTCACATAAACGTTTGTCTGTAAATGATTTAAAACAATTAAATATTAATGTTTTTTCATTAACTGTTAAAGGATCAATTTTTCGGCGTTTACACGGCACATCCAAAATTTCCATAACACTAGTATACACAATAAACTGCACCTTGCAACTGAAGTACCTACTTTTAGTGAACTGTTTCACTAAAGTGAAGAATTTTAAATACGCCACTTGGACCTTCCTACAAAATGGAAAAACCCACTATCACATTTTCTGTGAAATAAGTTTAGAAGGTAATTATCTAGTCAATTACTATCGTAGATTCCTGGAATTAAAGAATTAAATGTTTGATTGTTGAAACCCTTACTTCGTGGAATGCACTCATTTCAGATAAAATAAAACGTTTTATTTTATCTAAAGAATTAAACTTTATTTTGCAAATAGGTAGGTACTTATTAAACTTTTATTGGTTATATATAACCAATAAAATAAACATCTTACATTTCTTGCAAATTCATTAGTACCTGTTAACCTCCATCACTCCGACACTGGCAACCTTATTTAGGGATTAGTAAACCTCACAACTATTGTATTCTGTTCTGCTCCAACCTTTATACCTGGTGGTCATACTCAATTTAAAATTGTTTTCCTATATACTTCTGTAAACTTGTTGACAAATATCTGTTTTTCATTGAGTCACCCGTATCAACAGTTTAGGGATTTGCATACATAATTTATTGTTTTATTACTCTCTCATACATAAAAACACACTATAGACTATAGACGAAGAGTCTGTTTAAGTAACAAACAACAACGAGGAGGTTTCGCCATATTATTCCGATCTTAAGTTACAACAGAAGTTGAGTCCAAAGTGTCAAATTTTTTAAACCTTCAAAAGGGTATTCGCATTAATTATACTGTCGTTTAAGTTTTATATGGCGACTTCATTGCAAAAATTTGATGTGACATAAAATGTTATTGAAACGTCCTTAGTTAGATAGCATTATTTTTCAGTGAGAAAGCCGAGATATTTTTGCCCAGTGTGGTTGGCTAACGATTTTTCGTGTCCTTACATGGTGGAAATCAAGATGATTCTCTAACAGCATGCGATACAAAGGAATCGCCAATACAGTGGCCAAAATTACATTTAACTTATCATCACTTCCGACAACAAAAGATTATTAATTAAAAGATATTACAAGAAAACACTGCGATCTTGCAGATTGGGGTTAGAAAAGTATGGAAAAATTTGGATACAAATTAAAACTATAAAACTACAGCACCCCCAAATTAATCCTAATGGGGACAAAAGGTCGATAATAAACTAATATTGGATAAAAAAAACATGGTACGTGTATATCGTATTATCAAAGAATATAGACGCTTAAGCGTCTATATTCTTTGGTATTATTATGAGTATTCAAGAACCTGGTCAACTTCAAAGTGCTGTAAACCCAGAGAAATTAATAAAATAAACACATTTTTAGTGTGCATTAAAATTGTTAACGGCGGTCATAAAAGATAAAATCGAGGAAAAAGCGAATATGGCAGATTAACAACAAGGCTTCCGGAAAAACCGCAGCACAATAGATGCAATTTTTATTATTAGACAAATAATAGAAATTGAATATTGAATATGGAAAACTAGCGTACATGTGCTTTGTAGATTTAAAAAGTCCTTTTGACAGGGTCAAGCGAAATGGCATCTTAAATTTATTACAAGCTGAACAAATAGACCATCGGATAATAAGGACAATTAATGAAATTAACAAGAACAACGAGACCACAGTTATAATGCCAACAGAAGAAACAGAATACATATAACTAAAAGCAGGAATCCGCCAAGGAGACTCGCTCAGCCCATTGTTATTCAATATGGTGATGAACCAAATAATTCACGAAGTAAGAAAACGACACGGATACCACGTGGGAGCGCATAAAATCACGATACTATCACAGTATAGTGCTTTTAAAGCACGATACTGTGATACTATGCTATGCCGATAATGCAGTACTAGTTGCTGATAACAAAGATGATCTACATAGGCAGCTCCACACCTTCAATATCACAGCAAACAAACTTAATATGAGAATATCAGTAGAAAAAACTAAATGTATAGTGATCAGTAAAGAGCCGCGTAGATGCAAACTAGAAATAGACGGCAAAATTCTTCAAATTCAAAAATTCAAAAGGTCTTTTTATTGTAAAATGCCAAGAAAAAAATTATAAGACCTAAAAAAAATTGTTCAAAAATTTTTATTTTGTTTTTGTTTAAACTTTTTTGTTTTCCATTTTACGATAAAAAGGAATCGAAATAAAGTTGTAGAAATTTAATTTGCCACAAATAATGTTTATATCATTTTCTGTAGCGTTGCTAGTTTACGAGATACAATGCTAAAAAACTTTGCCCCGCTTTTTTTAAGATAGCGACCGAGGGAAAAGGGTCCACAAACTTGAATTTAAACTACACCCACACATCAAAAAAATCAAATTACGTCCTCCCAACAATGTAAGCTCAATGTAAATTTTCAGTAAATGAAAAAAGTCCATCATACTCAAGGAAATGAGTCTTTATGAATCTGGGGTGTGAACAAAAGCATGCCAATAAAAAAAATTAAAAGAAAAAAATACATTTTTCTATCTCATGGGTCTTAATTTGTTATCTATTGTGACACTTGCACCAAATACCGATAGCCAAAGGCAACTCATCAAATAAATATAAGGACAGACGCCAGAGAAGGCAGTACAGGCATAGGTGGCCACCAAATTTTAAGACATTTAAATGTAAATACTCTAAATCGAATGAACGTTTTAATTTACTTTACTTAATCTCAATAAAAAAACTATTTCCATCTTTATTTGTATCAAATTGTAACCAGTCTAGCCTGCAATAAATCTTAATAATTTCTTACTTCAAGGTAAACAAAACAAGGTTGTTTTTTGTAAGAGACACTTAGTAGCTATATACAAAATGTTTGAGTACATATTCGTTATTCTAGATTTTTTTAACATTCTAGATTACAAAACTCCGAGGAATAAAAGTTCTTTGCAAATAAAGTACTATTATTAAGATTATAATTGCAACCCAAGATATTTAAACATGTAATAAGAAAGATCCCTTGTTAGAATTATGAAAATTTTGCAAATATGAGGAAAGTGATACTTTTATTACCGAAAACATAACGAAACTGATGAATAACAAAAATAATTATAGTTTATTTGTGCTGAGGTCCTGATAAAAACACACTTCCCTGATTCTAGCGCCCCAACAGCACCAAACTGGACGGAAGAAGCAATCATACCCTCAATAAACGATTGGCATCTCGCTAGAACAATGATTAATGAGGAAAAGGTAAAATGAGCCATATTGTGCTTCAACCCTTTCAAATCACCAGGCAATATATCCAGCCCTACTACGGTGGGGACTAGATATCTGAGATATATTCCTAGGAAGTGGAGAGAGGTACGTGTGGTCTTCATGCTAAAACCAGGAAGGATAGACTAGACTCTACTATAGGCTTTCCAACCAATTAGCCCAAGATCCTTTCTGTTGAAAACGATGAAAAGGCTATGCGAGAGGTACATGAAGTTCTTGTCCATAACCCACTTGACTCAAATCAGCATGCATATACTTCGGGAAGATCTACCAATTCTGCACTGCATCATGTAGTAGGAAGAGTTGAAATATCGCTGGACAATAAAGAATCCACCCTAGGTATATTCATAGACATTGAGGGTGCGTTTGTTAAAACCACATTCCCAACCTTCACCCAACAGCTCAACGTCAGGAATGTTCCTCTAGCCGTAAGCGAATGGATATTCAGTATGCTCTCTAATAAAGCAATTAGCATAAATGTGGAAGACGTTTCTGTTAGGGGCATGGTTACGAGGGGGTGTCCACAGGGAGGATGCTAATCACCACTACTCTGGAACATAGTTCTAGACATCCTAGTTGACCAACTCAGCAGCCATGGGTTCTACACAAGTTTTACATATTAACACGCTAAAACAATAAAAGAACAGAACAAAGTTATTTTATTTCGTTATAAATATTTTTAGTAGGGATTATACTATACTCCAAGGTACTACTAAATTCTTGAAGATTATATCCTTGGCACGGGATAGCTAATTGATTTTCATCCCTGTATTGGCACTTACGTAGACCATACAATACGTAATATTTTTAAACTTAAATTAAAAGATATTTAAATTTTTACCTTGTCCAAAGGTTATTGAGATAAATCCCAAGAATAGAATCACTAGAACACTAGAACTGTGCCTTTGGCATTTATATTTCACCGAACACATTTTTTAAAAGTCAAGGAACACATTTAAATTCACAGAGCGCGATAATTTTCACAGCATTCTCGACAACTTTTGGCGGGTACTACGCTCGCAGCTGCGATCTCTACAAGAATGGAAAGGAAAGTCAACAAGTCAGACAACGGTAGTACTCGAAGAATATACACGAAGAAAAATGTTTCGGCTAGTTTTTAACCCTAGAACCACACGGTGATGATTGGGATATCTAGTACCGTGACGTCGGATACGACATGATTCTAATTTTACCGCTATTTTATATCGAAAACTTACTTTAATGTACAAAAAAGACAATTGTAAACTAAACAACCAAATTCATAATAGATTTTAGTGAAAAACACGTTTATTTGTATATAAAAAAATTATAAAATACATTAGAAGTACATAAACGATTAAACAAAAATAATGCAATTCTTCATATTCCAAGTTATAAAATGGAACAGAAAACAACAAAAACGGTTAAACAAAATAAAAAATTACAAAATTTTTATTAATTAATTATAATGCAAACAATTCGTTTGTGCTCACCACACACACTTTTATTACAATGACCACAATCTCTTTCTCCGATCACAGAAGGCACACAATCCTGGCCTTTTTGAGTTTCCTTGTTGAGCGTCAGCAGCTATATTTGTAGCAGAAGGGACATCTTTATCCAGCAATATAGATATTTGCGTCTTTGGGGCAACTGGAATTCTCGAATTTTGAATTCTTCGCTCCATGTGAGTAGCCGATAAGGCGAGCGATAAGTTTTTTAAAAATTGAGATCTCGAAACAGGTGTATCTACATTCAGTTTGTAAATTACAAAAGCATTCACAGCACCAGCGTCAAGAACTTCAAAAAAGTACCTCATAGGCCATCGGTTGGATTTTCTTTTGGAGGTCTTTGAATGACAAAGATGATCAAAGACGTCGACTCCCCCCTTCGTCATATTGTAGAATTCTATTATATCAGGTTTATTGGAAATTTTATTTACATCTCCAATATAATGCACTGACGAGATCAGAACTACATTTTTATTTTTCTTAGGTACATAGGATACCAACATTTTATCTGGACCGTACAAAAATCGTGATGACTCAGTAGGAATCTCTTTTGTGTCAATAAAAGACACAAAACGTTCCTCAGGCAGTTAAAATGAAAACCAGTTGTCGGTGGTAACGTTTCTGTTTGAGTTCTTGATGGGTTCTACCAGCTTGAGAACATCTTGAGTTGGTAACAGCAGGTCACTTTGTGGTCTGTTCTCTTTGCCAACGTAAATAATTCCTCCATAAAAAAGAATGTTCTTGCATCACAAAGAGAAATAATTTTGAGTCCTTACCTATCTGGTTTACTTGGTATATACATTTTAAACGGGCATCTTCCCCTAAAGCTTAACAAAGTCTCATCCACGGTTATATACTCCGATGGAGTGTATTTTTTTCTGCAATTACTACCGAATAAACTCCAGAGTTCTCTGAAAGGACATGTATTTCATGCAAGTTTTTTCTGTTTTTTACGTTTCCTCCATTTCTTTGTAGAATCATGAGTGTTTCGACTTGGGAACGATTAATTTGATCTTTTTTTTGATCATAACTTCGTGCTATAATATAGATGTTTCTGCTTCTTGCTGTAATGCTTTTCTGGAATAAATAATTTGTTGAGTCATCATTTCTCTATAAATTACTATCTTGAATAATACAATATCAATAATCTTAACTGAGATTTCCTGCCTAAGCAGCTACCTTAAGTTTTTTTTGGTTTTCCTCTCATGCTTCCTCCAGGAAATTGCAAATCAGCAATTCTTCGTATAGGGTGATTAACACCTCGATTTTGAACATACTCAAACTATCTTCACCTATGCTCTCTAATTTTGAAATCAATTGGTATTACCCCTAGACTTCCCCTAATATACTTATTCCTAATTTTAATCTTTTTTGCGCTTCACTCATCCATCTAAGAATTCTTATTTCTTTTACATGCATTTTCTGCAGTTAACAAATGAAGAAAAATAGGAAGATAATTTTTGGGGTATCCTGATGTATACGAAATTAACAAACACATTTTTCTTCGTGTAACTCCATCCGTAGTACCTGCTCGCGAGAGGCACATTGCTTGATACTGAGCCATTTATTTTCGTGTTGTGGGAAGTCGTGCGTCGCGAAGCACATCAAGCCGAAGAAATAACCGGTCATTTTGCCATACAGGGGCAGTAAAGTATATTACTGCGGCTGACGTCATGATCCAGTGATAAATCTTCCAGTCCAGTTTTATACCGTTAGTCAAACGTCTGTAGTCATTCATGAGAGTAGATGTATCTCAAGGAAGAATATATTAGCCTAATTTTAATCGATACATTGAGACACAGCAATTAACGAATTAAATTATGGTTATTAACGAATTAGAAGGTTATTAGTAGAGGTGTTTTTCTGCTATGAGGCATTTATAAAAAAGCACAATGTGGCACTTCGGAACTAACTAAGGGGGGAAGACATAGCTTTCTTATCGGTAGCTTTCTTATGGTAACTAAAGAAAGGAAATTCCGAGATTCATTTTTTCTAAATATGGAGTATAAAATTTTGTAAACACAAATGAGATTGCGTTTACTACAAACTAGACTAAAATGTTTTGGCGTCTATATAGTGTACATGCCAACAGTCAGTAATGTCAACATAACATTAGGCGCGTTTAGTTTGTCAACCGTACAAGCCGCATTTACGCTTATATCAATGTTTATGGCAGGAATTGTGCCAGTGCGAAGCCTAATAGTTCGTATCGCGAAAACTGCTCTACCAGGTCAAACACTCTGAGTTCTAACGTCGTAAGATTATAATATCCATACTCACCCGTCTAAAGATCTTACTAAATTATTGACTTCTGTTGAAATTTGTTGAAATATTTGCGTGTTATCGAGCCCTAGCTGCCCTGACATGCTGGAGCTCTTTGCAGAGTCTTATAAGGATGTTCACCAACACCACGTTGTTTGTCGTTCTCTAGCATACTCTTCGGAATGAAATCAGCAGTTGAGAGAAACATAATTATTGTCTGTAAATTTTCTATTCTCCATTGTTTTCTCCGTTGCATTGATGATATAATCATAGTCAGTGGTATGCACAGCTGAGATAGTAGGTTCATTGCTACAACAAAATAATAGTAACTACAAGGAGCCTGCGTTTCCGATTGGAATATTCTCAGTTTCGATGTTGCTTTCATAATATATTATCTGAATACGAATTATAGTCTTAATGCTATCATTATATATTTTAAAATGATCATAGACTTTATAGCATTACTCTTAAATTACGTATAAGCCATTAATCCGGTAATGAATAAAATGCTTTCTTGTAACCAGTATGGCCTTCTCTCGAGAGAACCTGTAACTCCTACAGAGCGGGTCCCCAGGTGGCGGATATGGAAATAAAATACCTCCCGTGAACCAACAGGTAATTCACCGAATGATTGTCGGTATAAAGGCGGAAATACAATATTCAATTCGGTTGAACCATGTGGATGATTCAACCAAAATGAACCATGTATTGAACGCACCAAAATGCGTTCAACAAAATTGAACGTTGAAATGAGTTGAGATTCTACTTTCGTTCAACTTCGTTGTACAATTGGGATGATTCATCCACATTGATTCATCTATACAAGTTTTGTCGATTGTGTTCGATTCAACCGTTTATTTCATCGGGTTAGAATCTTTTAATTTTGACTTGTGATATAATAAGTTCCGTACGTACGTTTCGAATTAACCACATTGTTCAACCGAATTGAATGAAGAATAAATTGAAGCGTGTATATGTATGCTTTTCAATTTGATTGAACAATGATTGAATCATCCACATTGTTCAACCGAATTGAATGGTGTATTTCCGCCTTAAGCAATCCCCCACTTGTTGATCAACGGCTTCGTGCGGACGACTTGGTAGGTGGTAGGGCATTCTTTTGTCTTGGGGCTGAGAAATCGGCCCCAAAGACGGAAGAACTAGTGGTTTGGTCAACGGTATAAGAAGGCAATGCGAAACCACTATATTAAAGATCCCTATGGGGTCTATGGGGGCCTATATCTCTAGTACCATCATAATGGCTTTACAACACAACACAAACTCGCTTACCTACTGATCATGGACATCGGAGACCAAGATCCGGCAAGAAAGGTGATTCCCATGACCACAGGGCCTTCCGGGTCGTTAATATGCAAAATCCCTGTGAAATGCCCAATAACACACCTATCACAGCATACCTAGGTACATACTTTTTTTGCGAAACATTAAAAACAAACATCCGCATCATTAAAATACTTTTTTTGATTTAAAAAAAGAATACCTTTTTTTGTGTAGAACTGAATTTTATTTCATGTTTTTTTTCCTAAAATATTTATACAGGGCGGACATAAAAATTATGGCCACATTAATGAACCAATGTAATGTAATATAATATTTTAATAATATACAAAAATATTAATGAATCACCCTGTAGAACGAAAACTAGCAATATTTTGAGTAAGCAGTTTGAGCTTAAACGCTTTATTTTGATATCAGCTTTCACCCATTAGCTAATGTCCAATTAATTATGGGACACCCTGTATATTTGTTATAGTATAATGAATATATTTCATACAAATAAAAAACATCCGCACATATTTATAGTACCTAGCTATAGTAATGTTTAATGTTTCTCCTTTCTACAAAAACTTAATATCAACACTTGCCTAAACTATAATTATAAGTAAGAGGAAAATAAAAATAGAGAACAGAACCAGTTAGATACACATAAGGTAAAGTAAAATGATACACTTCCTGTAATATCAAGATCAACCAAGGCCTCACGATTATGCAAATTACTTTGGTAATTAAGTATCATAAAAATATGTCTAAACTACCGGTATTAATTTTTTCTAATCTTTTTATCAGATTTAGAATTGTATTTAAATTGTCTTTAAAATGTAGGTAAGTAAACACATATTCTTGACACTACAGCTGCTAATTTTCCAGCGATGTACAGTAAGGTCTCTTTTTATCCGGATTATTGTTATGCGATTTTAAAGTTGTGCGGTTTGTATTTCATCCAAAGATTTCTATTATTAACTATTATACTTAAATATTAACTATTCACATCCAGATCTTAGTAAAGTCGTAAAGTGAGCCTTTGCAATTTGGGGATTCCCTTATTACATGATGTACCGACAGGGTTGCCGATTTGTACATAATTAACAGATTTTAACATAATTTATGAATTATATTTATATTTTTAAAATAAATATTTTTTAACATAATTTAACATGATGCCTGTGGGAATTATGTCGATAATTGAGATGTAATACATTTTTCTATTATAAGATTTAAAATCAAAATAAAAGCTGACGATAATAATTACCTGTATGCAGAATTGTCTAACATAACTCTGATTCATATATGTAGCTCGGAAAAGTACAATAAGTATATAATTTGGAGAATCCCACATTGCGCAGGGATTCCCCAAATCATAAAGTATCCCTCTTGATAATGGCTTCAAAATGGGTGCCGAAACGTCAAGTTTTAAATTCTTAACATAAATCATTCAAAAATCTGTGACAAATGGACTAGTTTCCATGTCAAACACATTATCATCATCATCATCATCTACATCATCAATATCTCTTAGTTTTTGTTTATTAATTTCTTGGACTAGTTGATGCAAAATGCGACTATTTTCTTTATTTTTCCTTTCTTTCGAAAGTATTACATATCTTGGTATTATTTACATCTACATATATACAATAGAACAAAATATTTTATGTTTCTGATGTAGATAGAAAAGTTTTGCGAAGTTTTGTGTTATTATTGTAATGTTTTATATATTTTCTATGTTTTCCTTTCGAAATTTATGATATTTATTTCTCTAAATATCGTACTGCATTTAACTGACAATTTACTGATTTCTTTTTATATTTTTTTCCGTTAAAATTTATGAATTATCCACAATGCGCAACTAAAGCAAATTAAAATCTGCTATACATGGTATTAAAAAAATAAATGGCAATACCAACTGCAAAGTTATCCAAATTCCAATCATCTACACTTATTTATATACAGATTAACCCACTTCTGTTCTTGTTCCTTGATTTGTAAAAAGTGCATGAAGAATAAGTCATTACGAATGCCGATCACGAGAATCAAAGAACAGTTTCAGTTTTGTAATACCCCATAGTTTACACATACGTTTTGAAATAGTTACGTATACACAGATCGTACATCGAAATTACACTGGTAACTGAGCCGAATTCTTAAAAGTATGTCTATAACAATAACCGATAAAATGAACTACTGTACATTTCCTTCGTCTTACATCAGGCAAGATATTATTTATTTCTGGTACTTGATCATGAGACATTTGTACCAGACCCTATATTTTCATTAAACTTCATGAATAAGTCCTGTTCTCTTAATAACATTTAGCAACTTTCTTATAGGAAGTCCAATTTCTTTTGGTTTAATACTTATTTTGCCAGTTTACACTAGCAGCATTTCATTAAGCGGTTCACATTCTGAGAGAATATATAGGTATTGCACTGTTTTCCTCCCCTTTCCATTTCCTATGCGAAGGACATACATACAACATATATGTATACCTACCTATGTTGTAGTGATATTCCCTCAGTTGACAATGTCCAGTCACTATCTGTGAGACATTATTTAGCCCTGGTCGTCTAATATTCATTAGACTAGACTAAAGCCTACTGTTAATATTGCTCCAATTTAATTTTTAATAACAACTTTCGTTATATCGCAAAATGTCCTCTAGAGCTTTGTTGTCTGTCCTATAAAGTTGTAGTGGGTAGTTATTTCGTTTCCTTTATGTTCTCCTGGTAGCTCTGGCATGTTATGTTAGATAAACTTCATTGTCTCGTACCAGTTTGAAATTTCGGTACATATTCAACATTCAACCCAATATTTAGACGCAATTATTGATTTAAATCGCTTAAAATTTACCAGATTAGCCTGACAAAAACTTATTGGATAAGGGCATCTAGGTCCATTCATTTATTAACAACAATCAATACATTGCTGAAATATTTATTCTAAATAGTGCAGAATAAATGCAGAAATAAATCCAAACGAAAATGGATTTCATATCATCAGTTCAAGCAAGCTACTTTAACTTACTGAAAGTTAAGCTACATGATCTTTATCTCAATCAGTTTTGAATTAAAATAAACTTTTAAAAGTACGCTGTGACGTCACCACGAAAAATAAATATTTTTAAACTTAAAAACTTCCTTACATATATGCTATATGTCATTTGTCAAATTTGCGCGTTTTTAGGAGATCGTGATTGGTCCACTACTTTCAAAATTAAGATTTGTTTTGACTTGTGCTATTTTGGAAATTTTTATTGTAGTTTTGGTTAATATATTTTGTTTATTATTAAGTTTATTGCCCAATTTGACAATGAGTGTAAGTGCAGCATCAGTTGCTTCAACGGCTACCCAAGAAGAGCAAGAAGTGGATGATTTCGGTCCACAACCAATAACAAAATTAGAAGTAAGTTTTCAAGTTTTGTATGCAATGAGATTTCCAGAATATAAAAAGGGTACTTAAGTTATAAAATTTAATTTCAAAATGTAGTAGTTAAAGTGTTCAGTAAGACACAAAATATTCTAAATTCATAAAATGACCTTAATTACCAAAACAAATTCTCCAATGTTTTATTTATAAATGGAATTTTAAGCAAGAAGACAAAATTCTATTCAAATTATAAACGGGAATATTGTTGTATCTCTAATAATACAAGCATATTCTTTGTCTTTCTATTGTAGCCATCATAGCTGATGTAGCGATTAACATATACAATTCCTAACAAGATCCCTGTAAATATATTTTTTGATATAAAAGACAATATTATCCTATTAATTCAATAGTAAAATTTTGGTATTTGTTTACATTAGTAAACTATATGCCTGTGTATGGCAAAAATATGTTGCCAGAATGCCAGAAACTACACCATTGGTATTTTCCTTCAACAAAAATTTTGCTACATAGCACAGTTGTGTCATTCTAAAGTAGTCTGCATACTTAAGGATCCTGCCTTTCTCTCTCTGAGACTCTCTTCAGTTTTGTCACTACCTGATGAGCTCTCAATACATGATGAAACTTATGTTATAATGTAAATAAACAAAGATTTCTAGAGAGGAAAAGACAGGCATTCCCACTTTCTGGTGCATAATTCATATAAATATATATGTATATATAGTTATGATTCAATTAATTTAGGGCAATGGAATTAACTCTGGAGACATTAAGAAGCTCATTGAAGCAGGCTACCATACTATCGAATCAGTTGCTTTTGCACCCAAAAAGTACCTCCTCTCCATTAAGGGTGTTTCAGAGCAAAAAGCAGATAAAATTCTAACAGAAGCAGCTAAATTAGTACCAATGGGCTTTACTACAGCTACAGAATTTCATCAAAAGAGATCTGAAATTATACAGTTAACCACTGGTTCCAAAGAGCTAGACAAATTGTTGGGTGGTGGCATTGAAACAGGATCTATTACTGAGATTTTTGGTGAATTTCGTACAGGAAAAACACAATTGTGCCATACTTTAGCTGTTACATGTCAGGTATAGTTGTCATATATACCAGGTAAAGTATATCTTTGATAATCTTGTCTGTTTTTTAGTTACCTGTTGAAAGTGGTGGAGGAGAAGGCAAATGCCTGTACATTGATTCTGAAGGGACTTTTCGCCCGGAACGTCTATTAGCTGTAGCTGAACGATATCAAATGACTGGACAAGATGTTTTAGATAATGTAGCATATGCTAGAGCTTATAATACAGATCACCAAACAAGTTTACTTATACAAGCATCTGCTATGATGGCAGAATCTAGGTTAGTATCTATAATTATTTGGTCAGTAGTAGAAGAAACTGTCAACAAATGGTATTTTTAAATTATTTAAGTTTTTAATTTATGTGTCAAAGAAAATTATACTCTACTTATAGTATGTAGTAGTAAAATAAATATAGTTACTGCTCTAGGAAGAAACTATAGGAGCAAAATGAAATGTTCCATTATGACCTCTTATCCTTCTTTTGGAATAAAATTACATAAAACATATGTTTTAAATTCTAATATCTAATATAATTCTAATTCTAATAATATCTAATTCTAAATTCCAAATAATCCACATTTTGATTCTTCCATCATTCTGAATTTTATATGCATTTAATCATAAGTTATCGACATTTCATTGTACATAGAAACTTGGTAACTTTAAAATATTGTTTTCTTTTTTAGGTATGCCTTATTAATTGTAGATAGTGCAATGGCACTTTATAGAACCGATTATTCAGGAAGGGGAGAATTGTCAGCCCGACAAATGCATTTAGCACGGTTTTTAAGGATGTTGTTACGTTTAGCTGATGAGGTAAATACTTATTTTCATTGTTCCTTTTAAACTTAAAATGTACACCTTGTCAAGAAAAACAAGGAATACAAATCTTTCCTGCAAAATACAATACTAATTTACAGTGTGCTCCATCTAAAAAAAAAATAGAAGAAAGGGATGATAATCATCACAAAGCCGAAGCAGAAGCCCTATGCTGAACTTGTAAAAGAGTTAAGGGCAGAGATAGGAGAAAGATGATGTCGTCATAAAGGCTACATGCCAGAGTCTCGTCCAACGATAACTAAAGATGGGCTCATATGTGACCAGCATCATCTTCAGCATGATGACCAGAAGGAACGAGGCCACCCAGCAATCTCCTGCATAGCTTTTGCTTAGGTACATACCTAGAAGAGCAGAAGAAACGACAACCCTGAAGTCCCACTTGCCAGGAGTCTTCAGAGTGGTAATGTGGTCGGAAGCTATCATTCACCGACCAATCAGCTTATCGACAACTCCTCTCACAGCTGCAAAAATTGCCGATTGGCTTTCTGGCTGGAAAGGTGGTCAAATAAATACTTCATAATCCCTGATAATAAAGGAATCTCAGGGATAAAAATCGCGTTTTTTCAGTCAGTGGCCAGTTTGAGTTTTATCTCTTATAAAGTGCCCATAAAACGTGCCTGTCACAAGATGTACGTAGTACCTTGCTAATTAAACAAAGGAAAAGAAGCATGGATACTAGATCCTTCCTACAAGAAAGTACTTCCGACAATACCCAAGAAAGTTACTAGAAAAGTCACCAAATACATATTTTTTGGTTGATTATCTCGGCCTTTCGGTAATCCAGTAATCAGTATCGGATAACCTCAGACGTCGATTCTAACCTAACTTTGTTAGTTTATGTTTGAATAATATTTTTTCGAATTCACTAATATACTTCCTTTTACAATATTTAAACAACAAATATTGTATGCTACTTTATAGGAATATAACCAGTTTTATATAATAACATAACATGATCAAATCTATGACCTATGACTATGATCAAACTCATGACAATGACCCAAATCTACTCAGAGTTTTTTAGGTGGAGAAGGATAGTTAATACTAGTTCTTGGCATTGAATCCATATTGTTATCTTAATAACACTAATATGTCGCTAAATAGTTCTGAAAATAACTGTTTTTTTATATAAATGCAAACGAAAAATCTAAAATTAAAGGAATAACGCAGAAAATACAAAAAATCGCCGATATAAATTTTGAATTTTAAAATTTCATAAATTTCATTAGTGTCAAGATGTCATAATTTACTGGAGTAAACTTGCCTGCGGTTGGACCAATTACAAACAAGCATTACGCCGCGGTATTTTTTTATAAAAGAAAACCAGTTTGAAACACGGTGTATAAATTGGATATAAATCTATATAATCGATTCCATTGCACAAATTATCTGTCTTTATTGTTTTGCAGTTCGGAGTAGCAGTAGTTATAACAAATCAAGTTGTCGCCCAAGTAGATGGAGCTGCGATGTTCAATGCTGATCCAAAAAAGCCCATCGGCGGTAACATAATGGCTCATGCTTCCACGACAAGATTGTATCTAAGAAAAGGTAGAGGCGAAACTCGAATGTGTAAAATCTATGATTCTCCATGTTTACCAGAATCGGAAGCTATGTTTGCTATAAATGCTGACGGTATAGGTGATGCAAAGGAATAAACTTATGTTTATACGCTGTAAATATTATGTTAATATAATTTATGTATAAGTTTTGTAAAAGTTTTTATAGAGTTCTAAAAGTTTAGGTATTTTCTCAATGAATGATTCGTATTTCTTTACATCTAAATATTCTTTAGCTAAGATATTCTCCAGTGATTAATTTCTTAAACATAAAGTACTCAGTCATTACCACGAACCAAGACATGTAGTAGATGCAAAAACAAGTAAAGTATTATACAAGGGGATCAACTTTTGTGACAAAGTCTGATATCTGTTATTATAGGAGATAGCAAAAAAATTATTTACAAAACTAGGACGTAGCTGTAAATTTACATTTTTAAGTTAGTTTAAATGTACAGGCTTTTCCGCAACACTCTACTGCATCAAAGGTGATGAAACACGCTGTATTTTATTTTAAATTTAAAATCTGTTTTTAAATTTTAATTTACGAATATATTCTTTTTAAATCTAATACAGGCTGAGTTAAAACACAAATTCATTATTTGCTCAGTATTTTTAAATGCATCACTCTGTATTTTATATGACCATCATAAACTTCAACCATGTAGTAGAAGTGGGTTGTTGGGCCAAATATTCTTCCACGATTTAATCAGTGTGGTAGACTTGACTTGCTGTCAGACAAACCCAGCATTAATAATCGAATCTTTAATGTTAAAGTTTTTTAAAATTGAAGTGATGTCAGCATTAGATTGACTTACAATATCCACAAGGAGCTGTTTCTTGTAGTGTGCCTTGAGAGTTTTAACACAGAATAATAAACAATCAGAATGCCCACTCTCCATGGAAAATTAAGTACGCGCATCTCCTTCGCGCAGACGTTCCGCCATGTTTTAGAGGGAATCAGTGTTGTTTATGTGGTGTACATAGAAAAATTAACCCGGTTTAATTGACTTACGGCAATCATAGACATACTATACAATTATATTAACATTGTTAAATATAATAACATAAGAATTAAACATAAATATAAACAATTACATAACCTCACAAATCATATGTCTGTGTTATGCGTTTCCTTCTAAAACATGGCGCGCGTGCTGAAAAACTTCAAAGGCGGCATCTGAGAGTGGACATTCTGATTGTTTATTATTCTGTGGTTTTAACAACGTTTTGATCCATGGGCTGAATCAATGCACTAGTATTTTTCGGTAAGTACATTGCCTCGATATATTCATCGGCACTTTCGATGTGTAATTCGTCCTTATCAGGATGTCCTGGAGCATTTTTTAACAAGAGGAGGGCTCAGAGGAGGAGAGTTTAGACCGGTTTCATCAGCATTATAAAGTTGTTCAAGAATTAGGTCTAATTCGGTGATCTTTTTGCTCAAATTCTGAATAAATTCAAACATCTCAGACTCTTCTGCACTAGACAAGAGGTGCGTCGGTTTGCAAAACGTCAGGGTATCAAGGGTGTTTTGTATTTTCTATACGTATATGTATACAGATGTTTCATTTAAAATAAACATATCTTTAATGCAGTACAGTGTTATGGAAGACCCTGTATATTTCAATTTTTTGTATCTCTTGTAATAACAGATATAACGGATTTTGTTAAAGAAGTTGATCACCTTGTATACTTTAATATTCCTTTTTAATGGAATATTTTAATTCATAACTGCATTTAATTTATAGTTAATTAAGAGGGGGCGTATCGTACATCGAGACATTTTTTCTTTTTCTGGTACCTCCCTAAGAAAATATAACTTGTTTGTGGTAAATTCGTGTGCCAAAGTAGAGTTGTTTGGATATTTAATTAACTAAATAAGTTTTGTTGACAAATATTTTTGGAATAAAATAAGATGAAATCTAAAACAAACTAATTTTGAAATTTTACGTCCGTGAAATCAATCTTTGAAGCACATCATGTCATATTTTGTTACAATTTCTTGACAAAAAGTGACAAATTTATTTCCTACATTTTGATTTTCAATGCCGCAATTGTCTATTGTGGTAAACTAAATGATATTAGTAATAGAGGAAGAGAAATTCTCATTCGTATTTTAGTTTGTAAGACTGTGTACTAAAAAAAACAGATTGTATCTGAATGTGGCTAGTTCCATTTCTAGAATCGATTAAATAATATATTTTATTATGTAATTATGTGTCTCATTTATACCCAAACAAGTCCAGTTTGTACTCATCATCATCATCATAAGTGGCTCGACAATCCGTTATGCATCTTGGCCTGCTCACAAAGAAGACCTGTCGATTCCTGGCAACTTCCCTCCATCTTCTAACCCTTAGAATCTGTAGGTTTTCTTTCACATCATCAATCCATTTCATTCGTGGTCGTCCTCTGCTTCTTGTGCCATCTGGTTTTGAAAATGTTAATCTCTTCTTCCAGTTTGTACTATAAATAAAAATAAGAGCGACAATATTACCTTTGAGAGAATTTTCCTTAGAATACCTACCAAGAGATAACAAATAAAGTCAATGAAGCGCTCGGTACGATCTAAGGGAACAAAAAGAATACTCCATTGTGGTGGACACATGATATCGCTAATGCAGTACACAACAGGAAACTGGCATATCAGAAGTGGCTGCAAACCAATGACCCAGATGATAGACGAATATACGTAAGATCAAACAGAGAAGTAAATAAAGCAAACAATGTTTCCTGGTGAAGTAATTACGAAGAGCTCAACAAATATATAGGGTCAACAAGATCAAGAGAAGCATGGCAAACCGTAAAAAAACTGAGAACAAACAGAAAAAAAGTGAGTGTAATAGATTTAATACAAGAAATATCTTGGATCGAACATTACTCACAACTTTTGACTGAAATAAAACAGCCCATAAGTATTCCGGGAATTACTGGCGTATGTCTTCATCTTATTCTATAAAGGACATGACCACAAGGGGCTAAGTGTCATAAATTCACTTTTAAGACTGGAAAAATATTAAAAAATAAAATTGAAAGAGATAACAGATGTAGAAGAACAAAATGGCTTTCGTGCAGGCAGATCTTGTATAGACAGCATATTTTCTCTAAAGCAGGTTATTGAGAAAAGATTAGCCCACAGCGTTTCAACTCCTGTAGTCTTTATAGATCTGACAAAGGCATACAATAGTGTACCACTTTCAATGTTCTGGATAGCAATGGAAAAACAAGGAATAAATAAAAAATATATAATAGCAGTATAACAGATTTGCAAAAACATGACGGTAAACATTAAAAATGGAAACAGATTAACTAGAGAAATTCCTATTAGTAAGGGTCTAAAGCAACGATGCTGCATAGCACCTATACTCTTCAAAATATATTTGAATTAGGCGCTCTCAGTGTGGAGAAAAAATTCTACAAGATGGGCATTCCAATCGAAGACGAAAGATTGTACACGATACACTTTGCTGACGACCAAGCCATTATAGGCGAAGTTTAGAGCGATATAGACTATATCCTTAAAAAACTGGAGGAGGAATACACTAAGTGGGACCTAAGAATTAATATACAAATAACTGAGTATTTAGTTACAGGAGAAAAACCAGAAAGCCTACAAATTGAAATGGGAACTATAAAATCAACTGAAACCTTCAAATACTTCGGAGTCCAAATAACATCAAAAGCAGGAAGTAACGAAGAAATACATTCTAGGATTTGCCAAGCAAGATCAGCCACTATACAGCTACACGGGCTATTGTGGAATAATAAACTAACAAAAGAAAATAAAAGAAGAATTTATAAAACAATAAAAAGTATTGGGTTGTATGGCACCAAACTTTGGGAAATTCATCAAAAATTAAAGCAATGGAAATAAACTATTGGAGACTATGTTGCCGGCACACTAGACTTAATAGGGTGAGGAACGTAGACATTAGAAGAGAAGTGGAAATTGGTCTGACATAATAGATACTATCGAAGCCAAAAGAGTAAACTGGTATGGACAATTGCAGAAAATGTTTTAAAATAGATGGCCAAAATAAGAGAGAAAAATGGACTCTAACCACTAGAAGAAAACGAGGTAGACTAAGACGGTCATGGAGAGAAAATGCAATGACCGCCAGAGAAGATTAATAGTAATTGTAATTAGAGTCCGGATTTCTAAGGATAATGCTTATGGTAAATAATAACAGGAATATTTTCTTTTTAAATAAGGATGAAATATGCAAAAATAAGTGATTTGACACGACTTTTGTATGCTTTTTTTATTTGTATGTCTTTTTTGAATTATTAAGCTTTTTTATTCTTTATGTATTTGACATAATTTTTATATGATTGTATTCTTTAAAACATAGTCTATAAAAGCCTGCCAAAACTTTAAAATTTTTAATCCATAATAGCATATTCGAAAAGCAAACAAAAAGCGGAAGGTTGCGGATGGTCACAGGTATTTCCAACAAAAATGTGGAAATTTGAGTATTTTATCATTTTCGTTCAAAGGTAAGCTGAACAACATGAAACAAAACATAATCAACAATTTAAAAACTTAACAGGACAACTCTGGGTAGATAAGTTTAATCAAACGGAGAAAAGCTTGAGAAAACAACAAGCTATTTTTAAAAACTAAACTATTTTATCAAATACGGCAGTAAAGGTTAGTTTTTTTCAGTAAAATACTGGCAAAAAAATTGGAAAGAGGATAAAAGAATGAGTGCTGTTGTAGAAATAGCAATTCCTGATAAAATAAATATTATTTCAAACATTAGTTTATTAAGATTCGCCATTACAAGGAGAACTGAAGACTTGTCCAAGAACATAACAACAACGCTTCGTGAACGCATTGCAAAATTCGAATAACGTTTTTAACACTTGATGACAGTTTGCGATATTAGCGTTACAGCACAACTGGCTATATTTTTACGTGATATTCACACCAATATTAACATTACCGAAGAATTGTATTCACTGATTTCAATGCCAGAGACTACAACCGGCAGAGACCTGTACGTTGAAATAAAGTATGTGTTGAGAAATTTTTATTAGAAAAGATTATTTTTATATTGACAGACGGAGCACGAGCAATGTCAAGCATGCAAGCAGAATAATGTGTCTCGTTTTATACATTTAGAAAAAGAAAACGTTATTACTTCTCAAAAATATGTAGACATTTTTATCAACGAGTTTCATTTACACTTCCAAATGTTCAAAGCTGAGACAACAGCGGTTTTCATGAAAACTTTCCAAGTTTTCATGAAAACTTTCCAAGTTTTCAGTTCCCGAAGACTTTCAAATAGAAGTGATTGACATGCAGAATAATACCGATTTAAAAAATGTAGGTATTTTTCTTAGTAAACATCGAAAATTTTTATAAATCTAAAGTGAGCTCTGAAAGATTTTATTTTGATAGGAAGATTCTGTAGGGAGTGTTGTCATAGGTTATTAAGATTGAGTTTGGAATTGGTTTGGTAATTATCGAGGAGACAAATATTTACAGCCTTAGCTTAAGACATGGCTAATAGCTATACTCAGGCTCGGGCATGCCAACTTTCAAGTAAGAAGACTTAAGAAAATAAAATACCTTTGTAACATGTGCCTTTTAGACAGTAATATACCTGACAAATGGTACAATGCTGAGGTAATTCTATTGTACAAAAAAGGAGATCCGTATAAATTAGAAAACTATAGCCCTATAAGTCTTCTTAGTCACCTATAGAAAACTCCTTATAAGAATAGTAGCCTTGAATCGTCTTGAGAAAAAACTTAATTTGTACTAGCCAATAAAGCAAACCGGATTTGGAACAAATGATTACCTACAAAGCATTCAAACTGTAATAGAAAAGACTATCGAATACAATCCATTACTCGTTCATGCTTTTGTAGATTTCCATGAAGCCTTTGACACGGTAGAATTTGACAAAATCCTGAAAGTACTACAAGCATGCAGTATTGACTAACCATATACAAGTTTAATTTACAATACATACAAAAACGCAACTATGTCGTTAAGAAATTGGATGAAAAGTGCTCAAGATAGAGCACAATGGACACAAATGAGGGAGGCCTATGTCCAGCAGTAGACGCAAAGTTGCTCTTAGTATTACTACAGTACAATACAAATGTAAACCTTTTTGGTATAAGGGGAAAAAAGGTACTTATATAAAATATTCAATAAAAACACAATTTAAATAAAAAAAATATTTATTTATAAAATAGGAACAGAGTATCATTGTTTCAGTTTGGGCAATTTCCATGTAATACTTTAGAGTTAAATTATCATATATTTTCGAATTTAAAAAACTTCCTCAATGTTTTTCGTATAGGTCTTTGTACGACCCAACCTAATATATAAATAGAAGTAATTAAACCTATCAGGAACAAATACTTATTATTATCTGAGTTTTTCTTAAACCAATTCGTATAAACGCTCAAAATTAGGGATAATCCTCCAAAAATGACCACTACACTGCCACTGGCGACGTGTATAGCTGTATTTAAAGCTGGCTTAATATAGCGCTTCAGTTCGACATCGAATAAAGCAACAGTACCATTTATTAAGGCAGGTATACATCCTAATAAACCTATGAGGCCGAAAATCGCATGTAATGATTTAAAATGTTCCTTGCCTTTGTTGTTTTTGTTTATAACTACTATTATAAAACCGATCGTAACTAAAATTGAACTAATTGTTAAAGCTATCCAATGGTAACGAACTTTTAAAAGACGGCCCAAGTTCAGTCTTCGTCCTACTGGGTTTTCTTTGGATATGAAGAGGACGCCTTCTATCATCATAAGCATCCACTGAAACAAAAAAAGAAGTAAAATAACTATAAAACATTTTGTTTATATTATACAGTGACCGGTAAAAAACCGTTTCAATATTAAAACAGTAGGGGAGAAGGGGGCAGCTTCAGACATTGATATTGTGGGTAAACTTAAGAAGTCGGGTTGGCAACACTGACAACAAAACATTCCATTACTACTCACACTTTTGTAGTTTGTAGTTCAGTCTGTAGAACAGTGCAGTAAAAGGTTTATGTCATAAAGTGAAAAGCTAGTTTTTGGTGGTTGAAAGTCAAATTTTTGGATTGAAGGTAAGATGAGTTTTTTATTAGAATATATTACTTACGATAATTAACAAATCAGTTTTAAGTCCATTTATTGCTGTATAACCTGTACTATTCACATTTGTTACTAATAGCACTCTTAGGTTATATTTTTACATTTAGTCTGGATACATCGAGTGGTGCACCTTCAGACAAAAGGGTATAGGGCACTATCACAAAAACGAAATGGAAAATAGAGACACCTTTTTTGAAATAACGTGCTTAAAAGTTATATATATTTAGTAATTTAGTAATATATATTTATTATTAGTTATTTAAAAAGGGTTTCTCTTTTTTGCAGATTGTCTGAAGATGGTAAGAAATAGGAAGAAAGAAAAAAAAAGGAAATTGCGATTCTATGAAAGTCTATGAAATCTATGAAAATTTCCGAATCTATGAAAGAATGTGTAGCGGCCATCCAAGATGGTGAATCGATAAGAAATGCTGCTTAAAGAGTTGGATTAAAATATCAAACTGTTGGTATGTACGTTAAGTTTAGGGATAATCCAGATGGCGAACATGATATTTAAGAAACGATACTAGAAAGGTTTTTACTGACAAACAGGAAGACGACCTTGAGGCATATTTAATTAAGTGTTTAAAAATGTTTTATAATCTTAACAATCTAGAAACTCAAAAACTAGCACATGAGATGGCCAAAATGAACAATATTGACTGTCCTAAAAACTGGGAAGCTCCAAGAATGACAGGAATCTCTCCGTGCTGCTGAAGGATTCAGTTTTGCACGTGCAATTTCCTTCAACAAACATAATGTGAATGCTTTTTTTTATAATTATGAAAAATTAATCAAAAGATAGCCAGAACTCTGTGACTCATCCAAGATTTGGAATATGGATAAAACAAAAATTGAAATAACTGTTCTATTCTCTTCAAATAACTAGCAATATCATCTTCCTTGGGCTTAAATGACTCAATTGAACCAATTAGCGCCATTTTGTTTCACTTGCACGTGCACACAAACGATTGTACAGACTTGTTTACTATTTTGACAAAAAAAAAACTTTGGGATTATCCTCTTTTTATCCCATCCTCGTCGCCAATATGTTATGTATTAATAATACTCAGACTGGTTACAACTTAACGTTTATTCCAATACGATAACAAAACATGGCCATTTCCTAAATACGACTAAACTAAGAACTACTGAATGACAACTGTCACAACTACTTGGCCCTGTCCCTAGTTCCGTTCACGGTTACTAGTGACAGGGTGCTTACACATATATAATAAAAACCAACCAAGAACCTTCTCGTGTGATTTCACAAAGAGACCAAAAACAAGTAGCAGCTGCTGTAAATGGTGAGAAAGGAACTCTGGTTACTACAGTTTTGTTTATAAATGCAGCTGGAAATACAATACCTCCTGCTCTAGTATTTACGAGAGTGCACTTTAAGAGCCGCATTATAAATGGAGCACCAAATGAGACTCGGGTTTGGCTCATCAGTCAGGTTGGATGACCACTTCCAATTTCGTTCATGTGATGCAGCACTTTATAAAATGTTTAGGTTCCTCTGAAAAGAGAACAATGCTTCTAATTTGCGACAATCATGAGAGCCACTTGTCAATTTAGGCAATAGGACTAACAAGAGCTAATGGCGTGCATATTCTAACAGTTTCACCCCATTGTACCCACATGATGCAATCACTCGATGTGGGATTGATGAAACCTTTTAAAACATATTATAATGCTGCAATTGATTCATGGTTGAAGTCTAAGCCAGGCCAACGTTTTGGAATCTATCACGTGGCCGCATGTGTTGAAATAGTACATGGCCGTGCCATGTACTATTTCAACATTCATTCTTAAAAAAAAACAGGAATATATCCAGTTGACAGGTACATTTTCACCGACGATATGTTTGGTCAGTGAGAGACTTAATCCTACAAACGAAACGAAAGCCTATGCCCTCTCAACAGCCTGGCTGTTATTTAAGTCCTGAGGAGATACGAGGATATCCAAAATCGAAACTCAATACTAGCTCCAAGAAACCAAGAGAAAAGGGGAAAAGCAGAATAATAACTGACATCCCAGAAAAGCTAGCTTCTTCTTTCAGAAAAACAGATCAATAAAAAACATAGAAAACCACCAACTCTAATGCTGAACGTACTAAATCTAAGAAAACTATTTTTTGAAAATGAGAAGAATGAGAAGACAACTGATGATGAAAAAACTCTGATGATAAAGTATTAGAAGAACCACAGCAAAATTTTGACAGGAGTGAATTGAAAATTGAAGATTTTGTGCTGGTTAAATTTGGGACTGCAAATCAAAAAGAAGTGTACTATGTTGGGAGAATTATTGGCAAATGTGATGATGGGGACGTTGAAATTTCATTTTTGAGAATATCATCTAAAGTAAATTATAAATTTTTCTATCCCATCGTACCAGACATCTCTAGTGCTTCTTTATCAAAAATTGTAGCCCTTTTGCCAACTCCTTCTGAGCAGGGTACAAAGCGACAGAAATCATTATTGTCTTTTTCAGTTTCATTGGAAAACTTCAATATGCATTAGGGGTTTGATTAAGTATCATAATATAGTTTTAAATTTTGTAATAAATAATTTCTAAAACATTTATATATGAGGTTGTCATTTTTCCAATTGTGTCTTAAGCTCCCCATTTCTCGCCCTTCAGTGGGGCACCTTCAGACGTTTTTGAAAAAGTGGTTTTTATTTTTTTTTATAAGTATAGGGTTTACCTAATATTAAAAGCATATATACAGTGAAAGTTGGGTGAACAATGTATTTTATGAATATTTTCTTTCTTTATTTGGTGAGGTATTTAGAATTATATGACAATTCAAATTTTTATGTCTGAATGAGCCCCACTCTCCCCTACACAAAGGGGATATAGAATGAAAGCATTTATAAATGCAATCCTTTGTGAATCAAGACCACTAACACCACACTAAATGTTAGAATAACTGAACATTAATCCTATATCAAAAATAGAAAATTTGTAGATTTCAGATATGAAAACAAGCGTGGAAAAAATTTTCAGTGGAAAGATTTAAGTACAATCATGAAAGAAACAGTTTATCCCTAACTCTTTTTCTGTGAAGTTTTCCATACATTCTTTCAGGATCTTTGGATCACGTAAATCTACCGGTAGCCTTTGGAGTATTAATTATTATCTTTTTTGAATGTTCTTCTTTTTGTAGTCTTTCAACTCTGGCTTTTGTAATTGTTAGTAAAGTCATCTACTTTAAAGCGTATAGGTATCTATATTATGTACGATTTGTCAATATGAATGAGACAGAAAAAATTAAATTATTAGATTTTTTTGTATTATAATAATGTCAATATTTGAAGTGAGATAATTTTGAAGAAGCATTTATAATTATTGGAATAAAATTGGTAGAACTGAACAATTTTTGGTATTTTCGTAATAAATACCTACTCTACTTAAAATATTTAAATAAATATCTAGTAATTACCACTAAAACAAAAACAGAAAGTTTTCAAAATTTCCCAATGCCAACATCATGACGTATTTTAAATTACTCACTTTTCTTTTATTGGTAAATAAAAAAATTCCAAGGATATTCTAATAAATTTGACTTACGACAAAACCGAAAGTATGTATAGTCAGTCAACCAACCGTAACAGTAATTAAAAAAAATTATATATTGAAAGTATTATTATAGAGAAATAGTCTAATAAATAAAGAATTTTAATGGTTTTTCTACACATTATTGAGAAAGTACAGATATCAATGTGAAATATTGTACTCATAAAGTACTTTTACATTTACAGTTTATATATTATCACAGAATGCTAAGATGGAATATTCTGTGATATTATTGTAAAAACTACAAAATACTAATTCAATTTTGCAACAAGTACCGCCATGTACCAGTAAAATATCAGATTCTACTATCACCAAAACAAATACAAAGTCTAGAAAAAGTAAATATAAAATAAACGAGCAAAAAATTTTGTCGGTTAGTGCTAGTGAACCGGAACAAAAACCTAATGAACAAAATATTGGTTCAAATACAAAACCGGTAAGGAGATTCCGAAAGGAATTCCTCGACACAAAATAAAATAAATAAATACAACAAACCGATTTTAGGTAGAAAAATTTCCTCTAATTTTAATAAACTCCCTCGACGGGGGCATATGCATGTTTCACGTGTCGGTACCGATATGAATTCAAATGATTTGAAGGATTTTTAAAAGAAACGGTGCCTGAAATATGTTTTGATTGTGAGGAATGGTGAGAACTGATAAGCAATCATCTCATAAAGTGTCGTTCTCTTTAGAAAGTCTAGACAATGTATACAACCCATCTATATGGCCCAGTGTATCTATCGTAAGAAGATAGATTTATTTTTGTTGAAATTTATTAATACCTTCGATGTTGTTTGCTTCTCAAAGCATTTCAGATGTAAAAAGAATATTTTGTATTTTTCTGTCACAAGAGATATCACTGTTTTTAATACACTTTCTGTCGAAATTATGTTTCTGTTTTATTCGATTAATATTTAAGTTTATGAAATACGCCCGACACACGCTGTGTTTGATCGGCCCTTCATGTAAATTTTTATGCGAACGGCCGACGACACAGTGTGTGTCACTGCTCCAAATAGCTTATCAGTGTATTAATTATAAGCTGGTGTGAAAAAAATATATAATAAACCATATGTTCAAATATGAAGTAGATTTATGTTTCGGCCCCTCGCAAACATTTAACATAACTGCCGGCACTGAACGTGTTAACAGCCAGACGCCAGACAGGTGGGGAAACTTGACCAAATGACTATTTAAACTAACAAAAGTCTAAAGATTTATAGATAACTTTAAGTATAAAGTAATTACATTTTTATTTTATATTTTAAAACTAATATGTTCGTTTTTGGAACAGTTTTGTTTTATTGCATTATTCATATTTATTGTCTCCTTTGTTGAAGTAGAGTTTTTAATTAAAAAAAGGGAGGTGGAAGAATGCATATTGATATTATTTCCAATCCCTTGAATGGAAAAGAAATTATGCAAAAATAATATAAAATCATACGCAAATAACTTTTTAATAATTTATCTTGTGAGCAATAATAGAGCAAATGTTTATGATTTTTGATATATTTTATATTATATATCCGTACAGTGAGCTAGTAGACATTCCTTCTTTTACAATAAGCTAACAGTTGTGCTGTCAATCTAACCTTTTAATATGATTAAATTTCAATTTGATATTGATAGACTTATTTTAAAGATATTTAATTTTTATGTGCATGGAGTTAAAAGAATTTTTTACAATTGTTTATTATATATAATTAAAATAAAACTTACCCCTATAGACATTAATAAAGGATGCCACGTGAAGAATTCAAACGGCCGTGCAAAACATAAATATATAATAAGTCCTACAAAAATCACAACACTAACGTGTGCAATTGTTGTTAGATCGTCTTTTAATCCAGGGGGAGGCGGAGGTCGAGGTCCCTTTTTGGGCTTTTTCTCTTTATCCGCTCCCCCTAATTTACTTTGTTGTTGTTTTGTTGCACTCATTTCTTCCACGTCTAAACTATCACAGCTGATCTGATTATCGACTGGTTCAAAATCGATATGAGATTGCAATTCTATATCGACTGGTTGCACTCTTGTTGAATCATACTGTGTACGTTGTGGTGGTGGGTTTTCACGAGTTATTTGAATTTTCGTACTTATCGTATGCACGTTCTCATTTTCAAGGCCAGCCATGTGACTTCTGAATAGATTAAATTCCTTCAGGCAGATAGAACTATTTATCTTTGCTATCAGCACCTACATTAACATCTATAATTATAACAAAACTATACTTGGACTATATGTTTATTGGACTTCAGAAATAAAACCTATTTGAATCGATTACACATTATGCAGTGTTTCGAAATTATTGATAAGGTCATAATGACACAAAAGATTAAAAGATTCCCGTAAATGGGAAATTTTCTCTCTATTTAATAAACATTAAGATAATCTTTGAACTGCTTAATATAGAGTGTTCATTCGTAATAATTTTCATTGGTATGTTGTATGTATTTAAGATTCATAAGCTGAAATTTTAAGGAATATTATAAGTGACCCAATATTTTTAACAAAATTTAAAAAATATAAGTGCATGAAATCAATTAACGTTAGATACCTACAACCAATATACAAATTCAAATAAATAATTAAGATTAAAGGCATTTATAAAACGATCAATTTTAGAACGCATCCATTGATTGTTTCATTTTTTGTCGCGGCGCTTATACCCCAGTCAAGGAAGAAAGAACTTAAAAAAATCTTAAGTTAGATATACACATGCCTGTTACTAGCACAATGGCATACCAGTACCTAGCTACCTAGCAACTATCAGCTACTGTCCCCAAACTGGCAAGTGTGTACGTTAACTGGCATGCTAAGTGGCTAATAGCTAATCGCAAAGAATAGTAGCATGCTGTGAGATGCAAGACGCATGCGTGTGGAGTGTCACTGGCATGCGTGAACGCGCGCTACGGCTACGGACATACCAGTAGCTAGCATAGCAGAAAATTGTCTGCTTGATTATAGATTCAAACCACAGCCACCTTTACTTCCTTCAAACACAACAAAAATAGATTTGTTGTGTTGGTGATAAAAATTAATTGTTTTATTTTTTAGCTTGTTAATTTAAGAAATGTTTCGTTGGGGTGATGAAAAAACCATCAAATTTATTGCTATATATATAGAGAGAGAATTGAAGTATCTTTCTTCTTCTTCATATACCATCTTAATGCTATCTTAATTTTATTCACTGCCACCCTAAATAGCATGCTTGTATCAACACCATACCAATCTTGCAAGTTCTTCAACCATGACGTTCTTCTTCGTCTTGAACTGCGTTTGCCGACTATTTTTCCTTGCATGATATTTTGTAGCAACCTATATTTGGGACCCCTCATTACATGTCCAAAATACTTCAGCTTTCTCTGCTTGATGCTTTTTATGATCTCAGAGTAGTCTTGCTGAGACGTTCTAGTATTATTAGCTTAGCTTAACGCCGGGTATTAACATGTGTAATAACATGTAACACATATGTTAACACGTTGCCTGCCGTCTCGATCTATGTGACCGAGAAAAAATTGCTCTGAACGTCAGCGAGGTCTATTTGACCGAGAAAAAAATTGCTCTGAACGTCAGCGAGGTCTATTTGACCGAGAATTTAAATGTAACTGTGATACCGTCTCGGTGAATATGGCGTGAACGGAAAGTATTCTCGGAGAGAGCTCTACGACAGGCAACGTGTTAAAGAGCTTGATGATTTATTAATAATAAAGAATCATTTTATGTCATGAAGCTTTCCTGACAGTACAGTATGTACTGCATTAATGATATTTGTTAGAACACACGTGATTACAGCCAGTGCTGAAAGATCATTTTCGGAACTAAAATTAATACGAACATATTTAAGAAACTCTATGGGATAATACAGGCTACGTAAATTGGTATGTGTAAAGGTCGATTCAGACACATCAGTCACGTCTCGTAACAGTCCTGGCGCCGAACCGAACAATCCGTCATACAAAATATTCTTTAATAGAAACATGGCGCCGGCATTCACATTCATCAGGCGACGAACAGTTTCATAGCTGTCAGATAGTTGATAGTTCTGTGACCAAACAGGACCGGTTCGGCGCCGAGACTATGACGGGACTGATGTGTCTGAATCGACCTTAACAAGCAATGCGACCGTTCAAACATCGATTACTATCAGATGAAATAATTATTAATTTGGCACATGCACATGAAATTGGCGGAGATGGTCAGTACCTTCAGCCACGATGATATGCATTAAGTGACCATGATATCATTGATCAAACTTTAGATGGCGTCATGAGTCTAGAAGATGATAATGATGAGGAAGAAACGTGAGCTGCAGAACTACATGTCAGATATCGTGAGCTATATAAAAAAATTGCAAAGACAGTGGATAAAATCTAACGGTACTCGGACCCTGTGAACAAGTACCTACTACCCGATAGCGGCGACGGAAGGTCGAAGAAAGATAAAGCCAGTCTCTCTGTTAGCAACCCTCGCGGGAGAAGGATGGTGCTTTTAATATTCAACTTTGTGATTTTGTGAGTAGCGATTCTCAGAGCGCGTGGCCCTCTCTCAAGTGTTTAGCAATAAGAAAAGTTGTCTCCGCGATTGTGAAACATAACAACTTTGTGTAACCACGTATATTGTATATTGTACCCGTTGTTTATTGTGTTTGTGTTAAGTATAATATGTAGAGAAATAAATTTTAGTTACAAGTTACTTGTATTCTTTACGTACAATAGACACTCAAAATAATACAGTCCACTCAAACACCCCAGAGAATACCGGCGGTATAAGTTCGTAGCAGATTAAAAGCACGTGGAATCGCCAATAATTCCACCCCAAACGCCGGCATTTTCTCCAGACAGTTTTTTCTGAATGAAGATGATTTTGAGCCACTTCGCAAACGGCGTAATCTGGATCTGGATTACCAGTGAAAACACAGGAGAACGGGAGGTTGAAATACGAATACTGGCGGGGAATAAATCATTCTTTGCCATTCAACATCTAATGAGGTCAAAGCTTCTCTCAAGGCGGGCCAAAATCCAAATGTACAAAACCATAATACGACCAGCAGTGACATATGGAAGTGAAACATGGACATTGAGAAAGAAAGAAATCAATAAGCTATTAGTATGGGAACGCAAAATCCTGCGAATTATATATGGTCCTTGCAGGGACAGCGCGACAAATGAATGGAGGAGCAGATACAACAATGAAATAGAGACTCTCTTCGGGAAAGGAAACATCGTAAGATACATAAAAGCCAATACCAGATGGTAGAAGATCGACAGGAAGGTCTAGAAAAAGGTGGAAAGACGCAGTCAGGGAAGACCTGGAGAAGATGGAAGTAAGGCCATGGGAAATAATAGCACAGGATCGGAATCAATGGAAGGCAATAGTAAACGCGGCAAAAACTCACGAAGAGTTGTAAAAGCCAATGATGATGATGCAAACGGCGTAAAACATTATAAGATAGCGGTAGTGATTAAAAATGTGAATGTAAAACTATATCTACCTATTACTTTCTCATAAAATAAAAGTAACTAAGTTTTAAATACAAGTTTTTTAAGCTCTTGTATGAATTCCTTGCAGATATTCGAAGTAATTTATCATGCAGCCTATTTCTTTTAATTTCTGGAAACTTTTTCGTTTTTTTCTTGGCTTTATGTAGCTCGGGACGTATCCCTACTTTTTCAATGCAAGTAATGTCCTTTTGTATGAAATTTTTTTAAATGCGCTTTTCTGTGGAACGTATCCACCGCATAAAACGAGATCCTACTGTACTAACTGAAAAACATCGCTATTATTGGAGCATTTCTATTAAAAAAAAACTTGAATCTTATTTGGCGTAACCTTAGTACTTCAGTAACTTACTCTATTTCAGATATTTCTATTTCGTATGCTTTTTTTTATAAGAAAAACGGATTCTTTAATAAACATTATATATAAGTGTATATCGAAATGAATTTTCAATTCGAATTTAAAAATGAAAACGGTCTTAGCCTATACGTTTCAGTCAAAACATATTATTCTTAATATTGTTCTGAAGCTATTTTCTAGTGGCATTTTAAAGTAATTACTATTTAACTGGGAATAAGCCACAATTAAAGGTTAAAGTACGTTTGTTGACGTTTTAATTTCCACTTTGGATTAAACTTACTTTACCCATTAATTGTTGCTTATTACCATTTAAATAGTAATTATATTATTCTTTCGCACTTTATGCAGTACAAGTATCAATCTATTTTTAATGTTTTTATATATGTATTAGTATTAAGTTATGTTGAATTTGACCAAAATTTATTTGCTAATTGTACTGTTATTGTCTATTTACATAAAATTATGATAATACCGCAGTTGTTTTTGTTTAATGTTTTAATCAAAATTAATGCACATTTAAATACACTGTTTTTTAGTCTCTAATTAAAAATATTTTTAAATTATGTAAATATTAATGATTAACCTGAAATTTTTAAAGATTATTTCGAAAAAATTATATTGTTTTAATATTATTCACGTCGCTTAAACAACTGATAACTTGAAAATCTTAAGTGGTATAGATAAGTACGAGTAAATACCGTGAAACCTAAGTAACCCGGGCCCTGTCTAACGCTGAACCCTTAGTATGAGGAATTTTTGTGATTACGAGTATTACTCCAGTCGAAAATGCTACTGAACCTTTAAAAATCATATGAACAAGCTGAATTTTGTCAAGCATATTAATTTTGGAATCCCAAAAAAGATGCAAAAAAGAATATAAAATAGAAAAAAATGTTTCAAATAAAAAATGTAACTGACACCATTTTATACAAAAATGTTTTTAAGCATCTTTTGTGTAGAATGAATTTCATTCTTTTAGAAACAACGCTTGAGGCAACCGTCGATTTTGCATGTCAGTTAGGGGAACCCTGGGTAGAACGGGGTACCTAAGTTTGATAGTAATTGGTGCAATATTTAATGAAACGACACCATCATTTGACAAATTTTATGTTAATTTATTTATTTTTTACAAAGAAAATATAGTTGAAGCTATAAAAAACAAACGTTTTTGAGAAAAATGTGCATTACAAATATAAAGGGAAATTTCCCATACTGCCCAACCCCCCGGGCATAATGGGGTGCCCCATATTATAGCTAATATCATTGTCAAAGTTCAAAGAGGAGAAGGCTTTCATCATCGTCACTATCTAAACCAGCACATGCTAGATTTGCCTATTTCTTACAAATGCTACAAGAACACCAGCCTTCATTGGACTTAAAGTAGTAATCATGGCAATAAAAGCAAGCCGTATCTTCCT